CCCTGCCTGCAGTGATTATCCAACACCCAAGGGGTCCCGGTTGAAGCCAAACACTGTAGGGTTGTATTTCATAAATGATGCAATATCCCTGAGGACATGGGGATAGTGTGTAGAATATTGATTGCAGCAGCAAAAGAGAACATGCTGATGGGACTGCAAAGCAGCCCTGCAGGTGCAGCCGTGAGGCTCATTAATCTTGAAACATCGGTAGTATGCTCCAATGGGTGCATGGCCAGTTATGCACTGGCAGACACAAGCGAACTCACTCAATGTTGAAGGTCACCTCCATCGTCCACACTTACGACAGTTTGTTGTTGGTCACCCCCACTGTTTCCAACCCATCCGATTTGGACATACTGCGCAACTTCATTCACAAAAGTCTTCCGACAGGTACCCCCTTTGAAGTCACGCTTCCCTCGTCAACATCTTTTATCAAGATACTTGATGTTCCTTACTTTGACCCCAAGAGGCTGAAGATCACCCAGGAGGTGCTTGAAAAGGCCCTCTGTACCTCAGTTCATGCTGAGGTTCTTGGCACACTCGACATCGTGCACTGTGTACTGCAACATCTGGGACTCCCAGCAGGGAACCTGTGCCAAGAAGGCCCTTGGCCAACCAATCTTTCTCTCTGGGCAGTCCTGCGCAATCAGTCCTGCTGCATGACACACCAGGGTTCCACTATGCCAGCGCTGCTGGAAGTGGGGCCACCCTACCTTTGCTTGCAAGGCAAAGCAGCTTAGCTGCACTATCTGCTTGGGTCCGCACAAGCAGAAGGAACATCACCAACATGCGGGATGTTGCAAGGGGAACGCAAAAGTGAAGCCCCCTGTGCTGCCCACCCCTCGCGACCAGCCCTGCCCCCACAAGGGCCACTGTGTCAACTGCCACAAGGACCACACCGCCAACTCAGCTTTGTGCAAGTTCTGGGCACATCGCTACGTCTGTGAGTGGATCATGGCCAAGTATCGTCAGGTACATGAGCACACTGCCTGCTGCCAACTTACTAACCCCTGAACCTAGACTAATGTTGGGAAACCATCAGGATCTAAGTAGTGATTTACGTATTTATTGTCAGAATGTTTGTCATACCCATGCCCACATTGATACATTGCTTGAAATTTGTAAAAACAAATCTGATATCCTATTTTTCCAAGAAACTCCATGGAGTTTCATAAGACATGCACTGTCCACCACTAGTATGGAGGGCGATGAGGCTATCGGTGCACTGAAGCATCCTGATTGGTTGCAGATGGTGCACATTAAGGAGGGTGAAGTTCCTCGTGTGATTGCCTATGTCTCGACTAGGCTCTCCTGCTATCATCCCACTATGTGCTGCAATGTTGTTGACCATCACAACATCCTCATCCTCTCCCTCTTCAGTGGGGGTGAGGTTCTTAATCTCATGAACATCTATTCTGACAACCAACACAGGGTGGTGGCTAGCATTCAAATCAGATAACTGCAGCAATAGCCACTATGGTGAGGTGTATAATGCCAATGAGTTTAATGATTTGAAATCATTGGAATTACAGTGCAAAATCATTGAGCAGTGAGATTTTTCTTCTGTGGCAAAATCTTTGATTACAAGGCAAATCATTGCGACTTCATAACTCTGCCTTACAAAATCTTTCCAAGGCAAAGAAATATCATTGAGCGAAATCTTTTCTTATCTGAGCTAAGTCATTCTGCGAAATCATTCCTCAAGGAAGAAATATCATTGGAACAAAATCTTTTCTTATCTGAATTAAATAATTATGCAAAATCATTTCTGGTCATTAATTCAATGAAGTTTATCTCTGGCAAAATCATTAATTTAAGGACAGACAATGATGTTTCTCTCTGCAAATCATTCTCACATCACAAGATATCATTGATAAAGGGACTTAGACAAAAAATTTGACTGTGATTCTCAGCATAAGCTTTGAATGTTTTGAATGCCTCAAAGGTATAACTCTTTTTACAGAGTGGAACAAGCATTTTGAACCAAGAATAATCATCAATAAATGAAATCCAATAGCGATGTCCAGACAATGATGTAGAGCCCACTTTGTGTACATCCGAATGAACCAATTCCAACAACTCAGTTGCCCTAGTTTCTGATGAAGGGAATGGGTTTGCATGCATCTTCCCAGCAAGACATGGCTTGCAAATAGGATCAGACTTTGCCTTTGAGTCCAGTACTAATCCATCAACCATGTTTCCATTGATCATCCTTCAAATTCCATCATGGTTGTGGTGTCCAAGCTGTCTATGCCACAAGGTCAAGTCAAGAGGCAGCGTCAAAGAAAGATGTACATTTTCATGAATGTCAACAGTTTGTCCATCTAAGTATCCAGTACCATCTTTAATAGTTTACTGCTGGAACACCTTCCAATCCGACACGCGGTCTGTGGACATGGGTGTTGGGCAGGGCTCAGCTCTCTCACCTTTTTTTTTTTTTTTTAATCAACAATTTATATAGCGGTGCTCGATGGCAGCCCGCTCGCTATCTACAAACACGCACGCTGCACAGCCTGGGTACTAAGTAAACTACCTAAAGACGACCGCCCCCCCAATCAAGACCCTTCTGGTGTATACCTCGAAACTTCCCAGAGGGCAACCCACCTTGCGAAAACGGTGCATCGGAATAAGGGGAGGAAACCATTGAGGTTCTGCTACACCCCAAAGTCGTCGATCACTGTTCGGAGGCCATGCAGTGCAATGAAATAAGAAAAGCACCACCCGGGAGGTGGCAAGGTGTCTTGAGGCTGACCAGCCAAAGATGCGCCTGCCTGAAACCAGACACAGAGAGTTAGCAGTGCCGCAACCCGCTATAATAGCGGACCGCAAGCACGAAAGAGTTGCCACAGGCGCAGGTCTTCAAACCCTAGGGCTCGGTGGTGTCAATTCACCATAAATCCCCCAAAAGGAGGAACAACCCCACCTGCAGCGATTATCTGACCCCTGAGGGGTCATGGTTGAAGCCAAACACTGTAGGGTTGTGCTTCAAAAACAATGCAATATCCCTGAGAAAACAGGGGTAGTGTACAGAGTATTGATCGTGGCAGCGAAAGAGGACGTGCTGACGGGACTGCAGCGCAGCCCCGCAAGTGCGGCCATGAGGCTCATTAATCTTGAAACGACAGTAGTACGCTCCAATGGGCGCATGGCCAGTTATACACTGGCAGATGCGAGCGAACTCAGTAATACTGTGTCCAAAGGTTGAAAGCCAAGGTCCTCCATTGAGGTAGGATGGCTGTATCGGCTGCCCATCAGGCTGTTGAAGCTCCAAAAATTCAGAGCCTCAGTAAGTTGGATCCTGGAAAGTGGAGCTCCATGAATCCAGGACTGAATGCATGGCGCGGGAGTGTAGCACATCTATGGAGTTGTCTGTCTTACGATGGCCAACCGTGACTTTGAGTTCAGTGACGTACTTGTGTGCCTCACCATGGATATCCCACCGCAAAGCAGATGGAACATACACAAAGGTGATGCGGCAGAGATCAGACGCCTCGAACCACTCTTGGAGAGCACGACAAACTGACAGACTGAAAGCCTGACCGGAGTGCACAGAAGGGTCCACCGCTCTGTGGGCTGAGCCCATAGAGTCAGTAAAGACCATAATGTGTTGGCAGTTTGCCTGCTTGACAGCAAGGCGCACCGTGCACAAAATGGCATTGAGTTCCGCATCTGGGGCAGTGACCCTGCCAGAGACATAGCGAGTCCTTTCGAGCTCACAATGTCCCTTGTAGATGATGGCAGCCAAAGCCACCTGATACTGGTTTGACTGAGGGACAGAGCCATCAGTTGCAGCCAGTACTGTTAACAGGTCGGCCCTTGCTTTCACGATGAGCTCGTTGAGATATGGTCACCTATCCTGGGTAGGATCGCGCTTGTCAAAAGGGAGACGGTCCGCAAAGCAGTCCAGTAACCGATCACCAGGGCAAGCTTCAGGTGCAAAAGGCTCGAAGCTCTCAGTTAAGGCATGGATGTGTTCATCCACCTCCATGACAGTGCTCTTGACCTTCCCTCACATGGCTGGGGTCATCAAGGCGGCTGAGCGGGCGTGAGGTTCAGCCTGTTTGAGGAGTCCCTCGCCCATCATGGAGTGAAGAGGGTGGGTGTCTGACAGGGTGGCGACGCGATACACTGTGTGTGTTGCCAGCTTCTTCAGCATAAGGTGGATGGGGATGAGACCTTCTAAGGCCTCAAGAGTGCCTGTAGGTGAGGTGCAGAATGCACCCGTCATCCATAGAGCAGCTTTCCGCTGCATCCATTTTAGCTGGTTCATCGTGCCCTTATTATGGGCACCATCAAAATACCACAGACGATAACCATATGTGGCAATGGGAACCACACATGATCTATAGAGGAGGCACCGCTGTTTAGGCGAGAGACCTCTGGTAGAATTTCCGAGCATGCGCATGGCCTGCACGGTGGTGAATGCCTTGGTGGCATAGTAGCGAACGTGCTCATGGAATGTAAGCCCACGGTCAAAGTAGAAGCCCAAGTACCTCCAATAGGTCTTGGGCTTCAAAGGCGTAGCATCGGTATGCGGGGCATACCCCAAATCCAATGAGGGATTATAGGCGTCTCGCTGACGCGAAAAGTGGAACAACTTGGTCTTGTCGTGTTCAAGAACAAGTGCGAAGGCAACAAAGAGAAGGTAGATAATCTTGTAGGCCTTGCGCAGGCCCACATTATTATCATCGAGTTGTTTGGATTGGGCCAAAATGGTCCCATCGTCCACAAAGGAGAGCAGCATTGTGTTGAGCAGCACCGCCTTGATGTAGAAGAGCTTCATCACTGGAGCAATGAAAAGCCCTGAAATAACAGGCGAGAGAGCAGAGCCCTGCCTGACACCCATGTCCGCAGACCACAAGTCAGATTGGAAGGTGTTCCAACAATAAACTGTGGAACGGCCAACTAAGTAAGACACAAAGAACTCCACCAAAATTGGTGAGAATCCTTGCTTGCGTAGGACAGCCATGAACATTTCATGGTTGATAGAAGGGAAGAACTGCGCGATGTCAAAAGCCAGCGCGCTAGTCTGGAGACCCTTAACCCACCCCGCTCACACAAGATGAGTCAGGATCAATCCAGCATCCTCAGTTGACCTCTGGCGAATTCCACCAAGCTGGTTTGGATGAAAGATATCATGTTTGACTGCGTCAAACTGTATCTGATTTGCAATCATCTTTTCGATAAGTTTACCAAAAGTGATGAGGAGTACAATTGGCCTAAAAGCCTTCGGTACAGCATAGGAGGGCTTGTTTGGCTTCAGAACAATAACCGACAGTGACTCCTTGAATATGCGAGGCCAATGACCCACCCTAAGGCAAGCGTTGGCCAACATGATGAAGAGCGCAAGGACGTGCTTATCCTTGAGCAACTCCTTTAGGTGGACCCATGTAACATGGTCCGGTCCTGGCGCCTCTCTCGCCTGTTATCTCAGGGCTCTTCATCGCTCCAGTAATGAAGCTCTTCTACATCAAGGCAGCACTGCTCAATACAATGCTACTCTCCTTTGTGGATGATGGGACCATTTTGGCCCAATCCAAACAACTCGATGATAATAATGTGGGCCTGTGTAAGGCCTACAAAATTATCTACCTTCTCTTTGCTGCTTTTGCACTTGTTCTTGAACATGACAAGACTGAGTTGTTTCACTTTTCGCGTCGATGAGACACCTATAATCCCTCGCTGGATTTGGGGTATGCCCTGCACACCGGCACTTCGCCTTTGAAGCCCAAGACCTATTGGAGGTACTTGGGTTTCTACTTTGACCACAGGCTCACGTTCCATGAGCATGTTCGCTACTATGCCACCAAGGCATTCACCACTGTGCAGGCCATGTGCATGCTAGGAAACTCTACCAGAGGTCTCTCACCTAAACAGCGGTGCCTCCTCTATAGATTGTGTGGTTCCCATTGCCACATACGGTTATTGTCTCTGGTACTTCAATGGCGCCCGTAATAAAGGTGCCATGAACCAGCTAAAATGGATGCAGCGGAAAGCTGCTCTATGGATCATGGGTGCATTCCGCACCTCACCTACAGGCAGTCTTGAGGCTTTGGCAGGTCTCATCCCCGTCCACCTTATGCTGAAGAAGTTGGCAACGCGAGCAGTGTACCACGTCGCCACACTCTCGGACACTCACCCTCTCCGCTCTATGATGGGCGAGGGACTTCTCAAGCGGGCTGAACCCCATGCCCGTTCTGCTGCTTTGATGACCCCAGCTATGCTGGGGAAAGTCAAGAGCACTGTCATGGAGGTGGACGAACACATCCACACCTTAACTGAGAGCTTCAAGCCCTTTGCGCCTGAAGCTCGCCCAGGTGATCGGTTATTGGACCGCTATGCAGACCGTCTCCACTTTGACAAGCGCAATCCTCCTCAGGATAGGCACCCATATCTAGATGAGCTCATCGCTAATGCAAGGGCTGACCCTCTTACAGCACTGGCAGCAACCAATGGCTCTGTCCCTCAGTCCAACCAGTATCAGGCCGCCTCGGCTGCCATCATCTACAAGGGACATCGCGAGCTCGAGAGGACTCACTATGTCTCTGGCAGAGTTACTGCCCCTGATGCAGAACTCAATGCCATCACATGTGCAGTGCACCTTGCTGTCAAGCAGGCAAACTGCCAACATATCATGGTCTTTACTGACTCTATGGGCTTGGCCCATAAAGCAGTCGACCCATCTGTGCACTCTGGTCAGGCTTTTAGCTTGTCGGTCTGCCGTGCTCTCCAAGAGTGGTTCGAGGCGGATGATCTCCGCTGCATCACCTTCATTTATGTTCCATCTGCTCTGCGGTGGGATATCCATGGTGAAGCACATAAGTACGTCACCAAACTCAAAGTCAGGGTTGGACGTTGCAAGATGGACAATTCTATAGACGCGCTGCGCTCCCAAGCTGCGCACTCAGTCCTGGATTCGTGGAGTTCCACTTTCCAGGATCCAACCTACCGGGGCTCTGAGTTTTTAGAGCTTCAGTGGCCTGATGGGCGGCCGATCCAGCCATCCTACCTCAATGGGGGACCTTGGCTTTCAACCTTCAGACACAGTATCACTGAGTTCACTCGCGTCTGCCAGTGTATAACTGGCCATGCGCCCATTGGAGCGTACTACCATCGCTTCAAGATCAATAAGCCTCACAGCTGCACTTGCGGGGCTGCTTTCCAGTCTCACCAGCACATCCTCTTTTGCTGTTGTGATAGATATTCTGTACACTATCCCCATTTTCTCAGGGATATTGCATTGTTTATGAAGTACAACCCTAAGGCGTTTGGCTTCAACCGTGACCCTTCGGGTGTTGGATCATTGCTGCGGGTGGGGTTATTCCTCCTTTTGGAGGATTTATCAGTGAATTGACACCCTCGAACCTTAGGGTTTGGAGACCTGCACCCGTGACAACTCTTTTGTGCAGGTCGTTAACCTTTTTGGTTGATTGCAGCACTGCTAACTTTCTGCGTCTGGTTTCGGGCAGGCACATCTTTGGCTTGTCGGCCTCAAGACACCATGCCACCTCCTGGGTGGTGCTGTTCTTATTTTCATTTGCACTGTGTGGCCCCCAAACAGCGTCTGATGACTATGGGGCATAGCGAGACCTCGATGGCCTCCTCCCCTTATCCTGATGCACCGCTTTCGTGAGGTGGGTTGCCCTCTGGGAAGTTTCAATGTATACACCAGAAGGGTCTTGGTTGGGGGGGCGGATGTGTTTTAGTACTTAACTTAGTAACCGGGTCGCATAGCATACGTGTTCTGTAGATAGTGAGCAGGCTGCCATCGAGCACCGCTATATAAATTGTTGATCAAAAAAAAAAAAAAAAAAAAAAAAAAAAAAACATTTAATGGTTGCAGTGAACAGTAAATCCGAGTTGTGCAAGAAATTCATTCCAGATCCAGAAATATGTACATCAAAGCTTTTATGCTGAGTCAAGTATAGGACAGCAAGAAGATTATTATGAAGGGCCAGTATGTGCAATACTCTAGTCATCAGGAAAAACCTTTTTGTCCAGCCTTGTCATCTAGTGATATATATATATATATTTTCAACAACTTGTATAGCAGTGCTCGATGGCAGCCCACTCGCTATCTACAAACACATATGCTACGTGGCCCAGGTACTAAGTTAACTACTAAAAGACGACCGCCCCCCCAACCAAGACCCTTCTGGTATGTGTGTCGAAACTTCCCAAAGGGCAACCCACCTTGCGAAAACAGTGCATTGGGATAAGGGGAGGAAACCATTGAGGTTCTGCTAGGCCCCATAGTCGTCAATCGCTGTTTGGGGGTTGTGCAGTGCAAATGAAATAAGAAAGCACCACCTGGGAGGTGGCAAGGTGTCTTGAGGCCGACAAGCCAGAGATGCGCCTGCCCGAAACCAGACGCAGAAAGTTAGCAGCGCCACATCCTGTCATACTGACGGGTCGCAGGTGCAGAGAAGTGAAGCAGGCGCAGGTCTTCGAACCCTAGAGCTCGGTGGTGTCAATTCACCATAAATCCCCCAAAAGGAGGAACAACCCTGCCCGCAGTGATCATCCAACCCCTGAAGGGTCCCAGTTGAAGCCAAACGCTGTAGGGTTGTGCTTCAAAAATGATGCAATATCCCTGAGAAAACGGGGATAGTGTACAGAGTATTGATCGCAGCAGCGAAAGAGGATGTGCTGACAGGACTGCAGAGCAGCCCTGCAAGTGCAGCCATGAGGCTCATTAATCTTGAAGTGACGGTAATACACTCCAATGGGCGCATGGCCAGTTAGGCACCAGCAGACACAAGTGAACTCAGTGATACTGTGTCCAAAGGTTGAAAGCCAAGGTCCTCTGTTGAGGTACGAAGGCTGAATCGGCTGCCCGTCAGGCTGTTGAAGCTCTAAGAATTCAGAGCCTCAGTAAGTTGGATCCTGGAAAGTAGAACTCCATGAATCCAGGACTGAGTGCGCAGCTTGGGAGTGAAGCGTGTCTATGGAGTTGTCCGTCTTGCAGCGTCCAACCCTGACTTTAAGCTTGGTGACTTACTTGTGTGCCTCACCATGGATGTCCCAACGCAAAGCAGATGGAACATAAACAAAGGTGATGTGGCAGAGATCATCCGCCTCGAACCACTCTTGGAGTGCGCGACAGACTGACAGACTGAAAGCCTGACCAGAGTGCATGGAGGGGTCTACTGCTCTGTGGGCCGATCCCATAGAGTCAGTGAAGACCATGATATGTTGGCAGTTTGCCTGCTTGACAGCAAGGCGCACCGTGCACAAAATGGCATTGAGTTCCGCATCTGGGGCAGTGACCCTGCCAGAGACATAGCGAGTCCTTTCGAGCTCACAATGTCCCTTGTAGATGATGGCAGCCGAAGCTGCCTGATACTGGTTGGACTGAGGGACAGAGCCATCAGCCGCAGCCAGTACTGTTAAAGGGTCAGCCCTCGCTTTTGCGATGAGCTCATCTAGATATGGGCGCCTATCTTGGGTAGGATCGCGCTCGTCAAAGTGGAGATGGTCCGCATAGCAGTCCAGTAACTGGTCACCAGGGCGAGCTTTGGGTGCAAAGGGCTCAAAGCTCTCAGTTAAGGTGTGGATGTGTTCGTCCACCTCCATGATGGTGCTCTTGACTTTCCCCCGCATAGCTGGGGTCATCAAGGTGGCAGAACGGGCGTGGGGTTCAGCCTGTTTGAGGAGTCCCTCGCCCATCATGGAGCGAAGAGGGTGGGTGTCTGACAGGGTGGTGACATGATACACTGCACGCATCGCCAGCTTCTTCAGCATGAGATGCATGGGGATGAGACCTGCTAAGGCCTCAAGTCTGCCTGTGGGTGAGGTGTGGAAAGCACCCATAATCCAAAGAGCAGCTTTTTGCTGCATCCGTTTGAGCTGGTTCATGGCAGCTTTGTTATGGGCGCCGTCAAAGTACCAGAGACAATAGCCATATGTGGCAATGGGAACCACGCACAACCTATAGAGGAGGCACCGCTGTTTAGGTGAGAGACCTCTGGTAGAGTTTCCGAGCATGCGCATGGCCTGCACAGTGGAACCTCGATGGTTTCCTCCCCTTATCCTGATGCACCGTTTTTGTGAGGTGGGTTGCCCTCTGGGGAGCTTCGGCGTTTGATCCCAAAGGGTCTTGGTTGGGGGGGCGGTCGTCTTTAAGTAGTTTACCTAGTACCCAGGTTGTGCAGTGTGTGTGTTTGTAGATAGCAAGCAGCCTGCCATCGAGCACTGCTGTATAAATTGTTGATCAAAAAAAAAAATGGCCTGCACGGTGGTAAATGCCTTGGTGGCATAATAGCATACATGCTCATGAAATGTGAGCCCGCAATCGAAATAGAAGCCGAAATACCTCCAATAGGTCTTGGGCTTCAAGGGTGTAACACCTGTATGTGGGGCATACCCCAAATCCAGCAAGGGATTATAGGTGTCGCCTCGACACGAGAAGTGAAACAACTCGGTCTTGTTGTGTTCAAGAACGAGTGCAAAGGCAACAAAGAGAAGGTAGATAATTTTGTAGGCCTTACGCAGACCCACATTATTATCATCAAGTTGTTTGGATTGGGCCAAAATGGTCCCATCATCTACAAAGGATAGTAGCATCGTGTTGAGCAGTGCTGCCTTGATGTAAAAGAGCTTCATCACCAGAGCAATGAAAAGCCCAGAGATAACAGGCAAGAGAGCAGAGCCCTGCCCGACACCCATGTCTGCAGAGCGTGGGTCAGATTGAAAGGTGTTCCAACAGTAAACTGTGGAGCGACCAACTAGATACAAAGCAAAGAAGTCCACCAAAACTGGTGAAAATCCCTGTTTACGAAGAACAGCCATGAACATCTCATGGTTGATAGAAGGGAAAAACTGCATGATGTCAAAAGCCAGCACGCTAGTCTGGAGACCCTTAACCCACCCCGCTCGCACGAGATGAGTCAGAATCAACTAAGTTTGGGGCCCTCCTTGCAGAGAGCCTTGGGAATCTGGAGGATATCCACCAGGAGTTCTGGGGGCGCACTACACCCCACCTAATGTACACTCTTGCATCTGACAGGCTTGGCTCGGCTCTATGGCCCTCTGTACAAGGTCCTGCCTATTTGGTTAGTGGATTGGGTACCGCTCTGCGGCCTGGGGCACTGGTTCCACCCTTTGGCAATCTCTTGTCACACCTCCCAGTTTATCATCCCGAACCTCCCAAGTAGGTCTGAAGCTCCACGGGCCCACCGAAGGCGAGCTTACAACCACAATCCCAACACTCAGGCTTCAACTTGAGCCAGCTCGGTCTTATTATTCCCAAACCAACTGACAGCAGATATAGATCTCTCGAGCCAGGATAGAGGGACTACCTCGTCCTGCTACGGCCCATCCGACACCAGGTGCGACCCCAGCCGTGACTTCCCATCCCCAGGCAGATGGTTTGATTATGCCAATCAGCTCAGATCCCCAATCTGTCCTGAGTTACTGCCTTGCCACCTGCCCTACCCAGTTGTGCATGCCTAGGCGATTACCACCTCGTAGGACGAACCCGGCCCGGGAGTTATTTCCAGCAGCGACTAACGACCATGGCCCAGCTAATCGCACGAGTTCCCATGGTGGGGGGTGACCTGTCCCTACCAAATGGTGCGGAAACTTAACCAATCGGTGTGGGTCGGTTTGTTATCAGGACAATTCCCCCTGTCTTACCATGCCCTATCTGTTAGGACCGTTTCCGGCAGCAGCAATAACAAGCCAAGCTTTGGGCAATCGAGTTCTATGGGCAAACCTATCCACAGCTGTGGGGAGTAAGACCCTGCAGGGGAAGATCATATCGCCATCTAAGGCTCCAGATCTTATTGGTCAAATACCTATCCACAGCCACAGGGAGTGCTGCACCCTGTGGGGGAAGATCAATATCACCATCTAAGGTTCCAGATCTTATTGGTATGGGCCCGGTCATCAAACCTGAGCATCTCTGAGGGCGGTGCCTCCCCCCCATATCACAGCATAGTCACTGATCATCAGGAGTAACCTCATCACAGCGAACAGTGAGAAGACTTAACCAATCAGTAAGCCTGCAATTCATCGATCTCGGAGATACCTGCCATGCCGATAAGGCCCGAAAGCCCCTCGTACATGGTCACGAGCATTTGGTCCTTGCACTGCTAGGGAATTGAACCCCAGACCTCTCGGGTAGAGCACAGCCACCCTTAGACCCAACAACAAGACCGTTAAGCCATGTTGCGGTCCATCTAGTGATATATATCAGATTGGACTACTACCCAGTACCTGTTATACATCAGAATGGGTAATAGCCCGTTGGGCAACTGCCCAAGACGTCTCACAAGAACATACAGAGACATGATTGTTGTAGGGGAGGGATGTGACTGATGCCAAGACTGATGGCTGGTCATGTGATGTTTTATTTGTCTTTTCCTTCAGGGTCAGCCTCTGAAACTTTGATATTATGGCCTCAAAAGGAAACAATTAATAAATAGATGATTGCCAGGCCCAGACTTGGCCTTGATCAATAGCAATAAAGCCATCAAGTTTGCTGATGCCATCAACATCAAAGTCACATGTGACAAGTTCAACTTTGCAAAAATTTGCTCCAAGTCCTCTTTTGCTCTACCAGACAGAGACTAGGAGTGCCTAAAAAGCGAAATTGAGAGGTCACATGACCATGAGAAATTTCTTTTTTGGGAAGAAATAATTGGAATAAAAACCCTAGGCCTAGATGACCCTGCCACCATCAGCATGACCTATTTGGCTCCATCAACGACAAGATATAAGCCAAACAATCCCAAAAATTGCAAAACATGACCCATTTTCTCAGTAATTTGTGTTTTTCTCACCAACCAGAGCAGCTGATGGCATCAAACAACTTGATTCAGGGTCATCTCAAGGTGCTCCATGAACCCAGATACTTTTTTCCCAAAAAGGAATGATTATTAATCATCTCATTATGTCCTCTATAAGCTGGACTTGGGCAACTGCCCAACGGGAAGGTGTTGAAGCTTTAGCCGATGCTATCGTGACAGCGTTCTCGGACGCATGGCTTGCCCATTCGACCGAGTCCAAACCTACCAAGCGATCCAAGTCCTGGTGGATGGATGAGTGCTCGGAGACATTCGGAGTATATCAGCTGAGTCGCTCGCTCGCTGATTACACCAAGTTCAAGAAGGCATGTAAAGACGCCAAGCGTGACTTCTTCGATGAACATATCACAGAGATTGCTACTTCTCACAAGCGCCCGTAGGACCTAATGGAATGGGTCAAACACAAGCTACCACCCTGTGAGGCTATTCGCAATGGCGACCAGCCTTGCCATGATATGGACGACCTGTGGGACACCCTTCATGGCACGTACAACTCGGCCTCTGGTCATGAGTATGACGCCTCAGTCTTAGATGAACTTCCTGACGAGCCAGTCTGCGAGTGGGCTGACTTTTCAGAGCATGAGTTGTTGAGTGCCCTTAAGGGGTGCTCCAACTCCTCTGCACCAGGACCGGACCATGTTACTTGGGTCCACCTAAAGGAGCTGCTCAAGGATAAACATGTCCTTGCGCTCTTCATCATGTTGGCCAATGCTTGCCTCTGGGTGGGTCATTGGCCTCGTATATTCAAGGAGTCGCTGTCGGTTATTGTTCCGAAGCCAAACAAGCCCTCCTATGCTGTACCGAAGGCTTTTAGGCCAATTGTACTCCTCATCACTTTTGGTAAACTTATCGAAAAGATGATTGCCAATAGGATACAGTTTGACGCTGTCAAGCATGATATCTTCCATCCCAACCAACTTGGCAGCATTTGCCAAAGGTCAACTGAGGATGCTGGATTGATTCTGACTCATCTTGTGCGAGCGGGGTGGGTTAAGGGTCTCCAGACTAGCGCGCTGGCTTTTGACATCACGCAGTTCTTCCCTTCTATCAACCATGAAATGTTCATGGCTGTTCTTCGCAAGCAAGGATTCTCTCTGGTTTTGGTGGAGTTCTTTGCTTCGTATCTAGTTGGTCAGTCCACAGTTTACTGTTGGAACACCTTTCAATCTGACTCGCAGTCCACAGACATGGGTGTCAGGCAGGGCTCTGCTCTCTCACCCATTATCTCAGGGCTTTTCATTGCTCTGGTAATGAAGCTCTTCTACATCAAGGCAGCGCTGCTCAATACGACGCTACTTTCTTTGTGGACAATGGGACCATCTTGGCCCAATCCAAACAACTTGATGATAATAATGTGGGCCTGCATAAGGCCTACAAAATTATCTACCTTCTCTTTGTTGCCTTCGCACTCGTTCTTGAGCATGACAAGACCGAGCTGTTTCACTTCTCGCGTCGACGAGACGCCTACAATCCATCGCTGGATTTGGGGTACACCCCGCATACTGGCGCTACACCTTTGAAGCCCAAGACCTATTGGAGGTACCTGGGCTTCTACTTTGACCGCAGGCTCACCTTTCATGAGCATGTCTGCTACTATGCCACCAAGGCGTTCACCACCATACAGGCCATGAGCATGCTCAGAAACTCTACCAGAGGTCTCTTGCCTAAACAGCGCCGTCTCCTATATCGGTCGTGTGTGGTCCCCATTGCCACATACAGCTATCGTCTCTGGTATTTTGATGGTGCCCGCAATAAGGGCACGATGAACCAGCTAAAACAGATGCAGTGGAAAGCTGCTCTATGGATCACAGGTGCCTTCCGCACCTCTCCTGCAGGCGGTCTTGAGGCCCTCACTGGTCTCATCCCCGTCCACCTTATGCTAAAGAAGCTGGCAACACGTGCAGTGTACCGCGTCGCCACCCTCTCGGACACCCATCCCCTTCGCTCCATGATGGGCAAAGGACTCCTCAAGCAGGTCGCGCCTCATGCCTGCTCAGCTGCCTTGATGACCCCAGCTATGCGGGGGAAAGTCAAGAGCACCATCATGGAGGTGGACAAACACATCCACACCTTAACTGAGAGCTTCAAGCCCTTTGCGCCCGAAGCTCGCCCAGGCGACTGGTTACTGGACCACTATGCAGACCGTCTCCACTTTGACAAGTGCGACCCTACCCAGGATAGGCGCCCATATCTCGACGAGCTCATCGCGAAGGCAAGGGCCAACCCACTAACAGTACTGGCTGCAACTGATGGCTCTGTCCCTCAGTCAAACCAGTATCAGGCAGCTTCGGCTGCTATAATTTACAAGGGACATTGTGAGCTCGAAAGGACCCGCTATGTCTCTGGCAGAGTAACCGCCCCTGATGTGGAACTCAATGCCATTGCGTGTGCAGTGTGCCTTGCTGTCAAGCAGGCAAACTGCCAACATATCATGGTCTTCACTGACTCTATGGGCTGAGCCCATAGAGCAGTCGACCCTTTCGTGCACTCTGGTCAGGCTTTTAGCCTGTCAGTTTGTCGTGCCCTCCAAGAGTGGTTCGAGGTGGATGATCTCCGCCACATCACCTTTGTCTATGTTCCATCTGCGTTGCGGTGGGACATTCATGATGAGGCACACAAGTACATCACCGAACTCAAAGTCAGGGTTGGACGTCGTAAGACGGACAACTCTATAGATGCGCTGCGCTCTCGGGCTGCGCACTCAGTCCTGGATTCGTGGAGTTCCACTTTCCAGGATCCAACTTACCGAGGCTCTGAATTTTTGGAGCTTCAACAGCCTGACGGGAGATCGCTACAGCCATCATACCTCAACGGGGGACCTTGGCTTTCAACCTTTGGACACAGTATCACTGAGTTTGCTCGTGTTTGCCAGTGCATAACTGGCCACACGCCCATTGGAGCGTATTACTGACGCTTCAAGATCAATGAGCCTCATGGCTGCACTTGCGGGGCTGCTTTGCAGTCCCATCAGCATATTCTCTTTCGCTGTCGCGATTGATACTCTGTACACTATCCCTGTTTTATCGGGGATATTGCATCATTTATGAAGTATAACCCTATGGCGTTTGGCTTCAACCGGGACCCTTCGGGGGTCGGATGATCGTTGCAGGCGGGGTTATTCCTCCCTTAGGGGGATTTAGGGTGAATTAACACCACGAACCTTAGGGTTCGGTGACCTGTGCCAGCTTCATTTATTTGCGCTTGCAGCTGCTATTATTGCGGGTCACAGCGCCACTAACTTTCTGCGTCTGGTTTCAGGCAGGCGCTTCTCTGGCTTGTCAGCCTCAAGACACCCTGCCACCTCCCGGGTGGTGCTGTTTTATCTCATTGCGCTGCGTGGCCTCTGAACAGCGTTCAACAACTCTGGGGTTTAGCGGGGCCTTGATGGTCTCTTCCCCTTATCCTGTGTCACCGTTTTCGCAAGGTGGGTCTGGCTTTGTGGGAGTTTCGGTGTTTGAGCCACAAGGCTTGTGGTTGGGGGGTGGACATCTTTTAGTAGTTTACTTAGTACCCAGGCTGCGTAGCGTTTTGTTTGTAGATAGCGAGCGGGCTGCCATCGAGCACTGCTATATAAATTGTTGAATAAAAAAAAAAAAAAAAAAAAAAAAAGGCAACTGCCCAACGGGCTATTACCCATCCTGATGTATAATAGGTACTGGGTAGTAGTCCAATTTGATACATATCGCTGGTCACTACAGGTGTTTTGTCTTAGGTTGTCTTGAGGACAATCTGAGACATCTAAGACACCAAGGACAGTAAGGCTCCTGAAGCCTATGTTCCTAGGTGTAAAATCTTATAGCGTCCTCAGGGTGTCCTCAAGATGCTCAGAGGACAGGCTAAGACCACCTCTTTCTCTCAAATGCCCACTTGTCAACAAGCGTAAACAACCAGCTCACTGTCTCATTTGTTGTCCAACGCTTTATCGACTCGCCAGACCTTGTCGCCTGATTGTTTGTACCGCCTACGCAAACCATGTCCAACCTCCCACTGAGAGGTCAGGGCACGAGACCCCCTGGAATCCATTGCAGGGGCTCGGGCTTCACTCCACCAGCTCCCCCACCAACATCGGCTGCTGGCTCATCATCCCTGGGCAGTGGTGCCTCGCCAATCTCGCCAGACCCTACCTCAACTAGGGCCACTTACTCGACGATCGTTCTGGCTCCCACAACGTCGCCTCACCGCNAGGTCCGTTCCACCACAGGTTCTGCCCATTTGTCTGCAGCTGAGTCTGACTCAGGGATGGCCCACCCCCAGGAGATGGAGGTTGAGGGCACTCAGGAAGGCGAAGAGGTCTTGAGGGACCCCTCCGCTGACCTTCTCTAGGTCAAAACA